CAGCTACAAAGGTTTTTAGGTTCCCTAAACTATGTTTCTGACTTTTATCAGGATCTTAGGCAAACCATCAAACCTCTGTATGACAGGCTCAAAGGAAATCCTCCTCCTTGGACCACTGTTCATACTTCTATTGTTCAACAGGTCAAGAAGTTCATCAAAACTCTTCCCTGTCTTGGTATTCCGTCCGTTGATTCTTTCAAAATCATCCAGACTGATGCCTCCGATATTGGTTATGGTGGAATCCTCCTTCAGAGAGAATCTCCTAATTCTCCTGAACAGATTGTTCGGTTCCATTCTGGTATTTGGAATAAGACCCAAAAGAATTATTCCACTATTAAAAAAGAGATTTTATCTATTGTCCTGTGTATCTCTAAATTCCAGGATGATATATTGAATCAAAAGTTCCTTGTGCGGGTTGACTGTAAATCAGCCAAGGATGTTTTAACCAAAGATGTCAAAAATATAGCTGCTAAGCAAATTTTTGCTCGATGGCAATCTATTTTAAGTATTTTCGATTTTGATATAGAATATATCAAAGGAGAACATAATTATATTCCTGATTTCCTAACCAGAGAATTTTTGCAGGAACCTCATGGCGGACAGGAAACCTAGTACATCCGGAACCTCCTCCAAAAATTCCAGGGGGAAGGGAAAGGATAAAATATTACCCAAATCTGAACCTGACTTGCCATTAGTCTTGTCAAACAGATTTTTATTACCACCTACTCAGCCCACAAGGCCAGTAGCCGTATCAAACCACTATTAACCCATTAACCTTTACCCAAATGGCCCAACAGCAACCTGTCAGGACCACTAGTGCCATGACAAACCCCTATCAGGCCTCACAACCCTTTGTAGCCCAATTAGGCCCAAAGGTTGATTATGTCAAAGCCTATTCCCAGAATGTCCTAGCCATTGAACTAGCCCATTCTAAATACAAGGATCCAAAAGACCTTGTACAGGCCTACCTCCCAAAAAGTTGGACCTATATTCCAGTAGACTTGGAAAAACCCATAGTTTTTACCAAGATATTCTCTACTATACCAAATCCATTTTCACCAAGCCTATTCCTGATAAGATAAACCCAAATAAGGTTATCTATCACAGCTTGTATATTACCAAGATTATTTCTGTTGAGGAATGGGGTTCTCACCCTTCTTTGCTCAGAGAACTTCCTTATCACAACAGACAGTTTAATTATTATGACTACATTGAAGCGTGGTCAAAAATATTACTCTACCAGAATGAGGATTTGTCCCATTCCTGGTTCCTAAATTTCTATAAAGATTTCAAAAGCCATATTCCTGCATGGTTTAATCAGTGGTGACATTTACATGGTCCCATTGATGAAATCTTTCCAGCTGATCTTAAAGATCAGATTAATATCTTTTACTCCCTTTACCGTCCTAGTAAACAGGAGTCCCCATTACCTTTATTACTAATATTTCTTTGCAGGTACAAAGTCCCGTGGATACTCAAATGGCAATGGGAAATTGTGGGATTCAACCTGACCCGACAATTCTATGCCAAATGGTGGCCCAGGTTTCAGCATAGCGACACTATCGCAATGGTGAAACAAGACTTTCCTGTAAGGGTACCAACTCCAGTAGTAGTCCCAGGTCCCTTACAACCAGCAACTCCAATGAAGGAACTGCCCGCTCATTCAAGCCAGACTAACCTTCCTGTAGTACAAACCAAGCCAGAAGAATCTTCATCTAAAGGTTCTAAAGGCTCCAAGTCCAGCAAGAAGAAATCCAAGGCAAAGCTCCTTCAGAAGCTCTTGGAACAACTTGACTCAGACAGTGAATCATCTTCCCAAAGCTCTTCCTCAGAACTCCCAGCAGGATATGCTCAGGACCCTTATGAAGGAATCGAAGACTTTGATGTTGATGACCTCATACCTGACCTTGCACTCCCGTGAATTATTATTTACATAAAGTGGCTTCAATCACTACTTTCTTCAGAAAAGAAAGAAAAGCTGACCACTCTGTGTAAAAAATAATATCACAAGTCTGCATAAGATCCCTTTCCCTAAAAGCAGGATTCTCACAGACAAAGGCAGGACCCACAAATCTGCTTTTCCACCGAAAGATGGATTCTCAGGACAATACAGGACCCACTAGTCCTTTCAGCATGTCCTAGTTACCAGGGTAAAAGAATCTTACTCCACTTTTCAGCCGAAAGCAAGAAAGTGAATTACTTTACCCGAAGTAAAAGAGAAAGGCAGAATTATTACCACAAGAAGAATCCGGAGTCCCTTACCTCTATATAAGGCAGCTCCCTCTTCTCAACAAGGAGAGCTTCATTGCTTACATTACAAACCCTTTAGTTTTGTAATCCTACCCCTCACTTGTAAAGCCTTCTTCATGATGCAAAAGAAGAGCTTCTCAAGCCTTATTACCTCTATTACCACTTATTTCCACTAGACCATTAGTTCTAGTGTTGTAAGTATTTATTTTCTTTATTGGAATATTTTGTTTATTTTCCATATCTGTGCATATTCTTCTATCTTCCATGAATTCCGCACTTGTCTTTATTTTGGTATCAGAGCCATTTGACGGCCTGGTGTATTACTTCTGAAATTTCATTTGAGTCATCTAACTCACTTTGAAATCTTTATCTGTTTCTTCTTTTAAATCATTTGTAAGTAGATTCGCACCCTAGCACCCAACCTTAATCCAGACCCTCAAGAGTACGTAAGTCACCCAGTGTCCCAAGTGTAAGTCCTAGAATTGGCAGATAGGGATCGTTGGCGAGAAGTTGAGAGAAATTGGAGCCAGATTAGGGGGTATGTCTAGTGTCGTCGAACTTACATATTAATTTAAAATTTGATAACAATTTAGATTTAAAAATGAGTAGATTATATATATATATATATATATATATACTCACACACATAAATCAATGTGCATTAAATATTAATGTTCTCCCATAAAACTAGGAGATATTTAATGCACCATTTTCCCTAAAATGAGCATTTATGTCTTTGTATCTAATTAGTGTACCTTTTTTTAAAATATTTTTTAATATGTATTTTTTTGCCAAATAAGTCTAATTAGATGTACCGACTTCTAAAAACCCAATTCTTTTTAGCATTGTGTTAGATCCGGCCCTGACGTTCGATCCTAGCTCCTTAAAGCAAGTGTCTCCAGTACATTTTTTCTCTAATTTTTTCTGGTGAGACCTAATTTATTGATATAATTCGCTATGACTTTTAGATTGATTGCAGAGCCCATCAGTCATTGGATGTTGATGTTAATTCAATGGTTTTACTGAACCTACATCATTATGTCAGCAAATTAATTTTTTAAGTCCAAATAGCATTACTCTTTCTCTTAATAGATCACATATGATGTATTCAAGTATAATTTATTATATATAAGTGAGTTCCTCAATCATTAATGATGAATGATTTTCCATGAAGAGATTTAAAAAAATCATATATTCGAGAGAATCTATATAATATAAAAATTCTTAGTCTTTGTAACATAAATAAAACAAAAGCATATACATTGCGTTTGGTTTGCAGTAATGGTTTTTAATATGAATGGAATGAGTTTGAGAATTGAATGAACTTGGAAATGAAATAGAATGCGCATTATCATTCTAATGTTTAACAACTGTTTAGGATTAACTTCTAGAATCGAATGTTCATTTCATTCTTATGTTTGGATAAAATAATTTTTTCATTGGAATGAAAACAACTTTAACCAAAATATCCACAATGACTAAAAATAATTAATAACAATTTTTAGTACCTAGGTATTGATCCCGAACAAGAGATATTGTTACTAATGTCTTAGGACTATGCTTACAAGACATGAACTTCATGTATGTATTAGTTGGTTGGGAAGGGTCAGCGGCAAATGGTAAGGTGCTTAGATATGCCATAATTATAAGGAATGGGTTGGTGGTGAATGGTGGTACTTACTACCTTGTGGATGGAGGACATACCAACGACAAGGGATTTCTTGCCCCATTTAGAGGTCAAATGTATCACTTAAAATAGGGGAGAGACGGTCACTAACCTATAACACTTGAAGAGTTCTTTAATATGAAGCATTCTTTTGCTAGAAATGTAGTCGAAAGATGTTTTGGGCTACTGAAGAAACGTTGGGCTATTTTAAGAAGCCAGTCTTTTTACCCTATAAAAATACAAAATTGTTTAATAATAGTTTGTTGTTTGCTTCACAACTACATCAAGAGATCATATATCAATAGACCCAGTCGGGGTGGAGGTAGATGCAGCAGGTCTTGTGGTGAAAAATTATGCATGTGATGATTGTATTACCACGATTGAAACATTCAACGAGTGATCAACATTTAGATTGAATTAGGCAAACAAAATATTTTATTAGTGGAGAGTAAGTAGACAAAAGAGTGTAATTTTTTATACTTATATTTGAGAATGATGTTGTTTCTTGGAATTCTACCTCCATTGCTATTAAGATGAAATGAATGGAATTTAAGAATTCTTATTTTTATTCAACTTGTTTTTGTTTTCGGTATATTGTTGATTATTTTTTGAACTTATTTTTTATCGATTTTTTTTTTAGTTCAACTTACATGTTCATATAAGATTCCTAGTTGTCTTGATAGTTTTTTTTTTGGATTTGCACATGTACTCTATTAAATTCACAAAGAACTACGGTTGTTCATTTGAAATGAATGATAAATTTCGAATAATTTATTATTTTGATTTTTTTGTAAACTTATTTTTGTAGGAATTTATTTTCTATTTTTTTTTAATTTATAGGGGTTTAATTTTTTTCAATAGATTCTCATTTTTTCTAATTATAAATTTTTTACACATAACTTTCAAAGGTAATCGTAATTATAAAAAAAAATTATTATTAATTATATTTAATCACCGTAGATATTTTGGTTAAAATTATTTTATCCAAACAAAAATAGAATGAACATTTCTTTCTTACGCTTTTAATTTTAAACAGTTGTCGGTAATGCACGTTCAATTCTATTCCATTCTTAGTAAAAGCATACCAAACGCAACGTTAGTAACCACTTTCGGGGCACTACCTTATCGTCTCCGAGCAGAGGAACACGAACACGAAAACCTCTTTCCTAGTCCCCTTAGTGTTTCCTCTGCTGAATAATCAAACCTCAAGAAAATGAAAGAAGACCAAACCATGTTGATTTGGCGAGAGATTCCTGGTCTCGAATTAACAAGAGAAGACCATTTGTGTAGCAAATGGCTGGGTGCCGGTAATAATGCTAGCGGTGGCCGTTGCAGTAATTTTGCTTGTGTTTCTGTGGCGGAAAAGAGAGAGGAGAGAGAGTTGGTGCCAACCACGGCGCAGCTCCTAAAGCATCCATTGGTTTTGCTTGCTTTGGTTCCTAAAGAGGCGGCGTTGTTCGCCGCCGGCGCTATTGCCGGTGTCGCCGCAAAGACCGTCACTGCGCCTCTCGACCGTATCAAGCTTCTAATGCAGGTTTTGTTTTATTTCTTCTTAATCCTAATTTTGTGTCAAATTACTTCAATTTCACTTTCTAAATCTTGTGGAATTTGTATATTACGGTTATTGTTCTAGCTAGCTGGAGGGTATCCCTCGATTAGGAATTATGCTTCTTTTCCTTAAAGGAAATTGTGCTTTTTATTAACCAATATTATCTGTCTGCAGACCCATGGATTCAGAACTGGGGCAGAAAGTGCTAAGAAGAGCATTGGGTTCATTGAGGTATAGAGTCCTTCTTACTATATTTGTTGTGCCCAAACGCTTGGCACAGATTCCATGAACATTTTTTTCTAGAGTTGAACCAAGCATATAAGGCGTACCCATATAAGACGTTCCCCATCACACACGAGGCTCTCATTATTACGGGATCTAAGAAGAGTTAGATGAATGTAACCTTATACTCGAACCAGTGACCTCAGGTCACAATGGAACAACCTTACTGCAGGTTGACTTCCTGAAATAATTTGAGATAACTGTACCACGTAGAGAATGTGTGATTTATTCATGCAACAGAGAAGGTCAGAAGGGTCAGAGATGTGTCTGGTTTATCCCCTCCAATGCCTAAGTCACTAGGTGCTTAAAGGGAGGATAACATTTTTACTGTGTTAGGTAGCTCATGTATGCATACTGAGACCCAACTCATTAGGGGTATTTACACCTTCTAATAGGATGACGTAACACTATAGGGGTCCCATCAAGCTGGCTGAGGGAGCTGGGTAATAATAAGTGAGCTATACTTATCTCGAGCCGCACAATTACTAGGCCTGCAGAGGTCGACATCTCCTCGGGGTCTGGTCCTGCAATGATTATCCCGTCCAGGATGTTGAGCACTCAAATCGTGTCCCATTCAGCATTTAATGATCTCTGCAAGGCATCTATTGAGCTGTACCGACTCATTGCATTGACATCGAACATTAAGTTCGCATGCCCCCAAGAAATTCACATTAGTAAGGGTCATGCCTTTATCCGCATTTCCTAAGATTCGAAGTACATTATGATGTGACTTATCGGCCAAAGCAATCATTTTCTGTGTGACTCGTTGAGTCATGGTTGGCCCATATACCTACCTAGCATTAAATGCTTGGCTCCGGGATACACATTGTTCCTTTAGCCTAGAGTATATTCTCCCAAATTCCTTTCTCAGGATTGACCAACCTCTTTGGTTTTTCACTTTTTAAGTTTATATACCGTGTTCTGATACGAGAGTTGGAGAGTCGTTTTGTGTCCTATCACTTACCGTTGTGCCAAGGCCCACCCTCGATCTTTCTTTTGTTGCAACGTATTGAAAGCCAAAATGATTGATGGGATGAGTGGAGGAGAGAATGCCATGATGTGAATACCATGGCATAGATTTTATAGCCATGAACTTTAGTTGTAGGATGAACATAATGCACAAGGGTCTCTCCTAGAGTTTTGGAGAGGTAAGTGATAGGTAACTTTAAACTCTGTAATGTCCCACTCACTTAATGCTGTAATCAAATTTAGTCTGCTTCTAGTCTGAGATCCAAATCATTAACAGTGTGTTTTTTATACACTTACTTTGCACAATGGGGAAAAATAAATGTGAAGATAGTTTACCTATCAAGAAAATAAAGATATTGCAGGTTCCTAAATGACATTTCTGATAACAAGTTGGTGTACACGTACGTTGCATGTGACCTAGGTTGAAGTATAATTTTTATTTGAGCGTTATAAGTTTTATACTCTTCAAGTATGAGTCATGTTTTAACTTGGTTCTTGAAATCTCAATTGGAACAATCAAGTCCTTAATGTTTTAATTGATTTTAATACCGTAACAATGTTTTTCAATTTTTTTTTTTGGTATTTAAAATTTAAAATGAAGATTTTATTGTTAAATTGGACTGTATGTAATTTGTGTTACTGGGTGGCTGCTATGGATTGAGGGTGGGATGGATTTATACTTGGCACATATGCCCTTTGTAATTCATTAGACATTTGGATTTTATGACTTTTTTTGTCCCTTCATTTGCACCAAGCTCTTTTGACTTCCATAACTTTGATTTGTAATGGCATACTATTTATCATGTTTTTATTGCCTTAAATAATAGTTGCAATTATACTTCCATCATGTAGATAAGAAGAAGACTTGAATAAAAGTGTCTATTAACTTTCTCATAGAGTAATATACACCATTGATATATTAAATTGTCATTGTTTAAATCAAATAAGATAAGAGATTAGGGTATGATTGGATAGAAATCTAAATAGGGATAATATAGGAAATTAAAAGTTTTTTATGTTAAGGTAGATTTATTACTAGTATAGATACAGATTATCCTGTATGTGAATTCCGACTGTATGACACTTTCTCATGCCTCTTTTTAGCTTCTCTTTACCGCCATATAGGATAAACCATCAGTGCCTTATATGTGTTTGTACAGAGATATATAGAGTTTCTCTGTGTACTCGTTGTTGTCTTATATGGTAGCTGGATGTTTATTGATTGTGCATACCTGGATATACAATTGCAGGCATTTACATCAATAGGAAAGGAAGAAGGAATTAAAGGGTACTGGAAAGGCAACCTTCCTCAGGTTCTTTGCATCATTCACTTCGTAAATGTCATGGTTGTTCGATTTACAATTGAGTACAGTTATTGTTGAGTGGCACAATCTCCAGATTTCTTTTCAACTTTCCAGGTGTTACGTATCATACCTTATAGTGCGGTCCAGCTGTTTGCTTATGAAACCTACAAGGTAATGATGAAGCCATATGCTAACAAAATCATAGCAGTGATGTATATATGCTTTTAGATTAATTTTGTTTGAGACTGATTATTATTGTTTTTTTTTTTTTTGTGGTGGTATTTGAACTGCAGAAAGTTTTTAGTGGAAAAGATGGTGAGATCTCTGTTATTGGAAGACTAGCGGCAGGTGCTTGTGCTGGCATGACTAGCACATTTGTAAGCTCAATAGGACACAACATGCTGAAATTATCATCTCCTTATCTATTACAAGGCAATGTGTTTGGATTCAGGTTTTTGTTTTCTGAAAAAAAAAAAAAAAGCTGATTATAAGAATTCATACATTCACTAATGAGCTGTATAATGTGGGTGATTATGCATTTCATGTGGATTTGTTTTATTATTCCTTTCTCACCTCTTGTTATCATCTTTGCCTTTTGTATCTTTGTAGGCACTCAAAGTTTTGCTCCTTTGACTCCTTGTCTCTTACAGGTTACATACCCTCTAGATGTCCTCAGGTTACGATTAGCAATTGAGCCGGGGTACTTAACAATGACAGAGGTGAGATGGATGGACTTATTATCTATCTATGACCAGAAGAGCTACCTATATAACAGTGGGTATTATGGAATGATTTGTAGGTTGCCGTTAACATGCTGAGAGAGGAAGGAGTTGCATCCTTCTATAATGGTCTTGGACCTTCGCTTACTGCAATAGCTCCTTACATTGCTTTGAACTTTTGCGTTTTTGATTTGTGAGCTTACCTTTTCAGCAATTCCTTTTCATCCTTTTCTTCTGGGGAGGGTTTATAATTTTGGCAATACCTTTTTAAGTGCTTAATCTTGAATTTACATTTGTCTGATAAATGTCAAGGGTGAAGAAGTCTTTGCCTGAGAAATATCAGAAGAGGACTGAAATGTCCCTAGCAATAGCTTTGGTATCAGCTACAATTGGCACACTCATGTGCTATCCGTTGGACACAGTCAGACGGCAAATGCAAATGAAGGGTTCACCTCACAAGACGGTTTTGGATGCCTTTCCAGGTAAGCTAATGCTAAGTAGTTGTTATTTTAAGTGGTGGTTAAGTAATTAAGCCACCTAAGTTGTTGCAGCATTTGGTATGGTCAGGCTTAAAGTCGCACTTTTTCAGGATGGACCTGCAGTTTATAAGATAAAAGCATGCGTAGCCTAAAACATAGAACACACCCTCGTGATCATTGTGATTTTGGCTGTCCCAATTGCTTTTTTTGCGTGGTCTGAGTTAGAGTGGTTTGTCTTTTTGAAAACTGTCTATTGAAGTGCACAACTTAAGGTGTCCAAAGGATTTTTCTTTCATGAAAGAGGACAGCAAAGCATTCTGTTTACATATATCCCTGGAATATAGGAATAATAAATGTCATTGCTAAGATATATTTGGTTTTGTCTTAAGTTTCGGACATCATGTGATATTTTTGCTTGTTTCTTTTCCCCTTCTCTTTGTTTTCCATTACCATGACCTGTTGCTTGAGGGCTCATCACTGGTTCACTACATTTTGACTACTTTCACGTATATTAATTCCCTGTAGGATTTGAATTCGCGTATTATTTGACTGAAACACAGTTAGTTATACAAGTATTGCACACAATGTTCAAAAATTAATTGAAGTTCCCTTGTACTATGAAACAGTTCTTCGTCTTCTTCTTCTTCTCGCTACTTATCCAACAACTAGTTATTGTCGTCTTGGATTTTTTTTAATGCAGGAATTGTGGCACGTGATGGCTTTCTTGGATTGTACAGGGGTTTTGTGCCCACTGCATTGAAAACTCTACCAAACAGCAGGTTCATGTTGTTTCCTTTATCATCTCATCCTATCCGTTCTTTTTTTTTTTTTTGTGCAATTTCTTTTGGTGTTCATTGTCTAGTCTTCAAGTAGACAGGTGAGGCATTCTGTTTTAGTCTTTTTTGGCGAGTTAGTTGCAGTTGAGAATGCCTTGGCTTTGGCCAAGTTCTGCAATGTTTCCTCTATGAGTAGGCTGTTCTCTCAAACAAACATCAATTGCCTTGCCATGAAACATTAATTAAGAAGGAAATAAAAGTTAACCAAGAGTTTTCATGCATATTTCCGAAATAATAAGGCAATGCTAGGACATCCCATGGCGAAGGTAATCACATTTCATTGGGATCACCTTAGTCTGGGACTCTGTTCTTTAATAACACCTCCCAAAAGTTCATATTTCTGATGGAAGACTTTTTCAGGATGTTATAATGATCTGGTCTCAATTTTCACCTCCTTTTCAATTGCAGCATTAGGCTTACCACCTTCGACACTGTTAAACATCTGATTTCTGCCAGTGAGAAAGAGTTTCAAAGAATGATGGAGGAAAATCGCAAAAAACACAAGCAGGCTGACTGCTAGTGAACAGTGATTGTGATACCTAGATTTTTTACATACGATACTTGAATGGTTTTTTCTTGCTAATTTTTTCTTTTAATTTTTGCCTGTCTAGCTCAAGCATTGACCTTTTTGTGGGTTTCATATCATGGTAAAAGCATTGTAAGAGGTGGGAGAGCATACGAGCTGTCGGTAATCATTTTCGGCCTCTAATTTTGTAATACAATAGGTTGTGCAAGACTTGGAATGCTGCTGGTAGTGTATATGCCATTTTTTTTCAATCCATTGTAATATTTTTCATTGCACAAGCAAGTGAAGTAGACTGTGAAGTGATATGATCAATTGAACATTTTGGCGCACTATTTTGATAGATATTTGCGTATTGTTAGCTTGGTCTGAGCAACATGTAGATTTCTCTCTCTCTCTCTCTAAAAAGGTTCCCTTCCGTGGTGTAACTGGGGATGCCCATGGGCCGGGTTGGGTGTTGGCGGCCCAAATCCTGCACTATGATGAAGTCCAGTCGAGTTAGTTATCACAGCTTGGGTTAATAATTAAGTTGAGTTTTACGAATGGGAGGGAGACAGTGTGTTGAAAAATAGTTTAAATTTAGTTCATTTAAAAAAGGAGTAAATGAGCCGAGTTTTAAACGAGTCGAGCCCGGTAGTTAGATTATTTGACATATGAACGAGTCGAGTTTTGTGAGTTTGAATTGAGTTTTTTTAAGCTCATTTACAAAAATGAGTCTGAAAAATTGTTCGAGTCAAACTCTATACGATTTAAATTTGAACTGAGTCCGAGTAATTTGATTTGATTATCAGTCTTGATAACAACTATACTTTATTAATTACAAATCAAAAAATTAAAAATTGTGTGAATTGACGGTCGATTTATTCTCTGTTTGGTATGAAAGATAGAAAGTAGAAGGAATACATTTTCTAGCCTTCAAGGAAAGAAATTAGGAATGATACACTTTCCTTCCTTTGTGTTTAGTTGGATGGATGGAAAATAAAAATGACTATTTTTTTTTGTGTTGGTTAAGATTAAGAATGACAATCGAGTCGTGTCGTGTTGTGTCAGATTTGCGTTGATTCATTACGGATTTGTATCGAACATTAGTCAAACTTAACGCAATTCATTTAACTAATTATGTCGTGTCAAGTTGCGAGTTGACCTGTTTATTTTCGTGTCGTGTTCGTATTCGTGTTGATCCACATAAACTTTGAATAAAAAATTTAACGCTAATATTCTATTTTATTTATTTATTTTTTTAATATAAATATATATATATATATATATATATATATATATATATATACTCTGATACCAAATAACAACAAGATGCGGAATTCATGGAAGATAGATGATATGAACAGATATGGAAAATATAAAATATTTCAATAAAGAAAAAAAATACTTACAACACTAGAACTAATGGTCTAGTGGAAATAGGTGGTAAATAGGGAGCTCTTCTTTTGCATCATGAAGAAGGCTTACAAATAATGAGTAGGATTACAAGTATTAGTGGCTTGTAATGTGTCTTTGAAATCAGACTAGAGAGGGTCTGGAGTTTCAAAGCTCTGCCTGCTTTAGAAGAGGGAGCTGCCTTATATAGAAGTAAGGGACTCCGGATTCTTCATGTAATAATTCTGCCTTTCTCTTTTACTCAGGGTAAAGTAATTCACTTTCTTGCTTTCGGCTGAAAAGTGGAGTAAGATTCTTTTACCCGGGTAACTAGGACATGTTGAAGGGAGTAGTGGGTCCTGTTTGTCCTGAGAATCCATCTTTCGGTGGAAAAGCAGATTTGTGGGTCCTGCCTTTGTCTGTGAGAATCCTGCATTTAGGGAAAGGGGATCCTATGCAGACTTGTAATATTATTTTTACACAGAGTGGACAACTTTTCTTTCTTTTCTGAAGAAAGTAGTGATTGAAGCCACTTTATGTAAATAATAATTCACGGGAATGCAAGGTCAGGAGTGAGGTCATCAACATCAAAGTCTTCTATTCCTTCATATGGATCTTGAGCATATCCAGGAGGAAGATCTGTTGTGAAGGATCCTTGGGAAGACGATGAGTCACTGTTGTCTGAGTCAAGTTGATCCAAAAGCTTCTTAAGGAGTTTAGCTTTGGACTTCTTCTTGCTGGACTTCTTGCTGGAGCCTTTAGAACTTTTAACTGAAGATTCTTCTGGCTTGGTCTGTACTACAGGAAGGTTAGCCTGGCTTGATTGAGCGGGCAATTCCTTCACTGGTGTTGCTGGTTGTAAGGGTCCTGGAACCGCTACTGGAGTTGGGACTCTTACAGGAAAGTCTTGTTTCACCATTGTGATAATGTCATCATGCTGAAACCTGGGCCACCATTTGGCATAGAATTGTCGGGTCAAATTGAATCCCACAATCTCCCATTGCCATTTGAGAATCCACGGGACTTTGTACCTGCCAAGAAATATTAGTAATAAGGGTAATGGGGACTCCTGTTTACTAGGACGGTAAAGGGAGTAGAAGATATTAATCTGATCTTTAAGATCAGCTGGAAAGATTTCATCAATGGGACCGTGTTGAAGCCACCACTGTTTAAACCATGCAGGAATATGGCTTTTGAAATCTTTATGGAAATTTAAGAACCATGAATGAGACAAATCCTCATTCTGATAGAGTAATATTTTTGACCATGACTCAATGTAGTCATAGTAATTGAATTGTCTGGTGTGAAAAGGAAGTTCTCGGAGCAAAGAAGGGTGAGAACCCCATTCCTCAACAGAAATGATTTTGGTAATATACAAGCTATGATAGATAACCTTATTTGGGTTTATCTTATCATAAATGGGCTTGGTAAAAATAGATTTAGTATAGTAGAGAATATCTTGGTAAAAACTATGGGGTTTTTTCAAGTCTACTGGAATATAGGTCCAACCTTTTGGGAGGTAGGCCTTTACAAGGTCTTTTGGATCCTTGTATTTAGAATGGGCTAGTTCAATGGCTAGAACATTCTGGGAATGGGCTTTGAAATAATCATCCTTTGGGCCTGACTGGGCTACAAAGGGTTGTGAGGCCTTATAGGGGTTTGTCATGACACTAGTGGTCCTGACAAGTTGCTGTTGGGCCATTTGGGTGAAGGTTAATGGGTTAATAGTGGTTGATCCGAATAACCAAGGCAGATTGGGCTACTGGCCTTGTGGGCTGAGTAGGTAATAAAAATCTGTTTGACAAGACTAATGGCAAGTCAGGTTCAGATTTGGGTTGTATTTGTTTTTGTTTTTGTTTATCCTTCTTTCCCCCCGGATTTTTGGAGGAAGTTCCGGATGAACTACTAGGTTTCCTGTCCGCCATGAGGTTCCTGCAAAAATTCTCTGGTTAGGAAATCAGGAATATAATTATGTTCGCCTTTGATATATTCTATATCAAAATCGAAAATACTTAAAATAGATTGCCATCGAGCAAAAATTTGCTTAGCAGCTATATTTTTGACATCTTTGGTCAAAACATCCTTGGCTGATTTACAGTCAACCCGCACAAGGAATTTCTGATTCAATATATCATCCTGGAATTTAGAGATACACAGGACAATAGATAAAATCTCTTTTTTAATAGTGGAATAATTATGTTGAGTCTTATTCCAAATACCAGAATGGAACCGAACAATCTGTTCAGGAGAATTAGGAGATTCTCTCTGAAGGAGGATTCCACCATAACCAATATCGGAGGCATCAGTCTGGATGATTTTGAAAGAATCAACGGACGGAATACCAAGACAGGGAAGAGTTTTGATGAACTTCTTGACCTGTTGAATAATAGACGTATGAACAGTGGTCCAAGGAGGAGGATTTCCTTTGAGCCTGTCATACAGAGGTTTGATGGTTTGCCTAAGATCCTGATAAAAGTCAGAAACATAATTTAGGGAACCTAAAAACCTTTGAAGCTGGGTTTTGTCTAGGATTTCATCTGGGAATTTATCTGCAAACTGGATGGCTCTACTAATAGGAGTGATAGTAGAATCCTGGATATTGTATCCTAAAAACCTTACTGAGGTTTGGAACAATTTAACTTTGGATGCAGATAAGACTAATCCATTTTGTTTAACAATTGTACTGAAAGCATAGAGGTGCTTCCAGTGTTCTTCTATTGTTCTGGAGAAGATGAGTATATCATCTATATAAACAATAGAAAAATGACTGATACAATGAAGACTTCATTCATTATGTTTTGGAATTCACTTGGGGCATTTTTTAACCCGAAGGGCATGACATTCCATTCATAATGTCCGAAGGGAGTAGTAAAAGCGATTTTATATCTGTCCATAGGGTGAATCTGTATTTGCCAAAAACCACTTTTAAGATCAAATTTGGAAAAGATAGTAGACTTATTGAGTCTTTTTATCAAATCCTGTTTGTTAGGTATAGGGTACCTAATCCATTCTAAAACCTTGTTTAAAGGTTTATAATTTATGACTAACCTTGGGACTCCTCTTTCTAATTCTGCGTTTTTGACAACATAGAAAGCAGGACAAGACCAAGGTGATCTGCTGTTCCTAATGATACCATTTTTAGTAACTCTGAGATTTTTTTTTTACAGATCTCAGTAGTTTCATGGTTCATTTGGATTGTTCTGGACTTAGTGGGGATATTGTCTTCACTAAATCCTTTAATATAAGGAAGTCTGACCATGTGTTTTTTCCTATGCCAGAATGCTGTAGGAAGCGAGGAACAAACTTCTGATTCTAATGTTTCCCTAAACCTATCAATCTTTTGTTGTAAGATTGGGTTGGTTAGGTTTTCTTTAGTTCTGAGGTGGTTAATCTCTTGTTTAAGAAATTCCACTTGTTTAATTTTCCTGTTGATAACATTAAGGGACTGTGAGACAGAAATGTCTTTTAGCTGCCTTAAATATTTTTTCTCAGGTTTGGTAACAAATGTAAATACAATTTTTCTTCCAAAATGCTTGGTTGATATTCTATCTGTATCCGTACTAAAGGGTACAAAAGATATATAAATGGAAGACCAAGTATAACAGAGTCAGTCATGTCCTTGACAAGTAAGAATGTTGTTTCAAAACATACATCCTGTTGACAAACATGAACTCTTGGAAGTTTGTATTTAACATTCATTTTACTGCCATTGGCAGAACTAATTCTTTCTAATGTTTTTTCATAAAACATGGTCGGAATCAGTCCTTCTTGGATGCAGTTTACATCTGCTCCAGTGTCCAATAAGGCAATAACAGTAATATGATAACTGTTGTTAACAATTAATTTTACTTTAACATGCCATTTTTGGACAGTTAAAGAATTAATCAGACTAATTCTTTTGTCATTAATAGTGGCTCCTTCCTGGAATGAAGGCAGGTTCGTTACACCAGAAGTTTCCGT